GTACCACCTGCGGGCAGAGAGGAAAACGGACTCTCAGCCAGAGCATCAGTCAGGAAGCAAAGATAGCCCACCCAGAGGCCACGTCCCCGTCACACACAGGGGACCCTCCAGATCGGGAGAGGGGGGGGGGAAGGGGAAGCAATTTTCCCAAGAGGCTGCCTGGGAAACTGGGACTGTTGTGGGGCTGCTGCCACGGCTTTTGTCCCCACCCCGCAGGCTGGACAGGGACAGCCAAAGGGTCGGATAGCCCCACAGGCCGTAGGATGTCTGCGCCGAGCAGGGCTGCCCCCTCCAGCCCACAGTTTGATCCTGAGACAGCCCCATCTTCTAAATCAGGTTAGGGTTGGCTTCATGAGTGTGCTGCATGGCAGTCCACCCCTGGAGACCCCTCCACAGGCAGAGCTGTGTGGGTTGCCCAGGTGTGCCCACACCCAAAGCAGAGAGACCCCCGGGAGAGCCAGCCCTTCCCAGCAGGCAGGTACCCACCGGCGATGCTCCTTCTCCGCCGATCCAAAGCGAACACGAGGCATGTCCCAGGCCAGGCCCAGCTCCAGCACTCCGTGGCCGTGAGCCGCCACCACGCACGTGGCACACACGGCTGCTGCACACACCTCCCCTTTCTCCGTAGGGGGGCTCTGACCTACAAGAGAGCCGTGAGCGTCAGGAGCCTGGCCTCCCGCCTCCCTCTGCCCACCTTATAGCCCAGAGCTCACCTTGAGGAGATTCCAGCCGACCATCTGCCAAGAGATCCTGCCAAACCTCTTGCCCAGTGCCAGCAGGGTTGAACGCCGTGACGTGGGTAACAGCGACACCTGCCTGAGGAGGAATCAAGAGGAGGAATCAAGAAAGGAGGGAAGGATACAGGGGAAGGATAGGCCAGGCCCCTCTCTCCCTCCCCAGCTTTGCCTCAGCGGGACAGGGGCGAAGGGAGTGGCAGGGAGGAGCAAGGGAGCAGGGCAGCCATAGGGGATGGGAGGGCAGTTCCATAATAGGCTTACGGGACGGGGGGGGGAAGGCGCTAGGAAGGGGGCCTTCTAGAGTCCAGAGGCACCAGAGGTGGGGAATTCACCCACCCCACCTCGGGGCCTCGTAAGTAGAGAAGTGGCAAAGAAGCCACAATGGGTCACCGCTGCCACTCCAAGAAGTCTCCCTGCCAGCCTGCAAGAGAGAGCCCCAAAGGGCGTGGAAGGCTCTGGTCCCAGCTGCTGCCCATGGGCCGTTCCTAAGTCTTGCGGGGATCTCCGCGAGGCCTACCTTCTCCCGGGCAGAGATGGCCAGGGTGTAGGGGTTGGCAGGGGTCACGTGGTGCAGCATCACCCCACGGACGCAGCAGCCCTCCTTCTCCACGCTGAAGGGCTCGTTCCAGTGGCCGCCCTGGCGGTCGTCCTTGGTCTCTGTGCCGTTTTGGAAGGTGAACATGATGGAGACCTCCACCTCCTCCGCACTCTCGTTCTCCACCTCCCAGACGAAGGCGCCCACCGGGAGGCTCGAGTCCTAAGCACACAGCACACAGGTGGCGCGTGCCGGGGTCAGAGCCCCCCCCAGGCTGCCCAGCCTGATCCCCCCCCTACTCGCCCCGGGCTTCCTTCCAGGAGCAGCGCCCAGGTGCGACCAGATTAAGAAGCAAATGTGCCCCCCCCATCCGTAAGAAAGTCTACTTTGGGCTAGAAAGCGTTGACCATCCCATAGTCCCCAAGTTACAACCGTTCATTTGGTGGCCCAAAGTTACAACGGCATTGAAAAAAATGACTTGCAACTGATCTCGCTTACAACCTTCAAGGGAGCATTCCCACGGCCAGGTGAACAAAATTGGCGACCAGCATGTGTTTACGACGGTCGCAGTGTCCTGGGATCACGTGGTCCTCTTCTGCGACCTTCCCAGCCGGCTTCCGACAAAGTCAGTGGGGTGGGTAAGGTGGATGATTTGCTTAGCAACTGCAGTGATTCGCTTAACCACAGTGGTAGATCGCAAAATCAAATGCGGCTCATTTAACAAATTCTGTGCTCTCCATTGTGGTTTAGGTGGAGGACTGCCTGTGCAGCATTTTATTGCCTCCCTCGGGCAGCCCTGCCTGCCTTCCTTCCTTCCCCTCCAAGTCTCCACCCCTCTCCTGCGTCCCACAAGCTCTAACTTGCAACACCTCCAGGCAGTCCAGAGACCAGCTCCTGCACCGTGCCAGGGCCGGATTAGGAAACCCATCGTAGAGACATCAACCCTATTGACGCTTTCGCCATGCAGGGCCGGATTGCTCAAAAGACAGACAGGCTTCAGGCCTGGTTATGCTGCCGAGAGGGCCCCAAGTGTGCCGAGAGGGCCCCAAGAGTTCCCAAGGAGGGTGCTGCCTTCGTCCTGGCCCCCCTGGATCTCCCTGAGGCTTTTGATTGCCATCAGCCAAGGCATCCTGTTGGGCTGACTGCAGGGGAAGGGAATGGGGGCACCCCACATTGAGACGTTCTTCCTCCTCACTTGGAATCAATTGGGTTGGGGGGAATGGAAAGGCCCAGCGCTAGGCCCGTTTATGTCCGTGTCTGGGGGTGTGTGTCTCTCAGCTCTCTTTTACACCTCTGGGGGAAGTTATTCATGGGTTGAGGATGACACTCAATTCTGCATCTCTGCCCCCCAGTTGCATGGGCAATGCCCTTCGGGGGCTTCTCCAGTATCCGGAGGCTGTGACCGTCTGGGTGGGGGGCAGGGAGTCAATCCTAGCAAGACAGAGGGGCGCTGGGTGTTAGGATCTCCCCAGAATCTGGAGAGTCGTTACCCTTAACTCTCAAGGAGAAAGCACTCCTTCACACAATGGGTGTGCAAGTTGCGGAGGGGGGGGCGCTCCTGGACTTCCAGCTCCTGCTGGAGGAAGAGGTGGCAGCCGTGGCTAGCAGGATATTTGTCCAGGATTATCTTGCACTCCGTTTGCACCCATTCCTGGACCAGGAGGCTCCACTTGTGCTTACCTACACCCCAGTCACTTCCTGTTTGGACCCCTGCAATACTTTGTACATGTGGCGACCCTCAAAGACACCCCCAAAACTTCAACCAGCCCAGAGCACGATGGTGCATGTAATTTGGGTTTCCCCATACATCGCCACTATGCTTTTCCAGCACAATTCAAAGTCCTAATTACCATCTTTAATGCCCTGCATGGGATCCGACAGACTGCCTCGCCCGGAGGCAAGGAGACGGCTCCAGGGCAGGGGCAACAACAGTCTCCCTTCTGCCCAAGCAATGCTGCTCTTTCTGGCTGACCCCTTCCTGTTGCTCCTGGCTGGCCCTTGACCTCCATGAACTGGAAAAGGGCCTCCGGAATGGGGCACGGTGGGTTACCTGGAGGGGCACATCTACAGCCTGCTTCGCTCTACAGCTGGCTCAGCTACCTTTTAAGTTGCAACCTCAAGCCTGAGCTTACACTTAACATATAATCACTCAGAAAGATTTTGACAGCGATTAAAAATTACAGAGCCTAAGGAGGAGATATTCTCTCCAAGCAGCAGCTCCAGATGAGGAAATCTGCTGGCACAAATAACTCCAGCAGGTGTGTGGTTGGGAAGCCAAGGGGAGGGGCATGAAGCAGAGCTGCAGGTGCAGGGGGCAGGGACAGGGACTTCCTCAGCATGGGGCGCTCCTATTAAGGGGGTCTCTGTGGGAAGGTCCTGGCTCAGGAAGGCTTGGGAAGGGGGTCCCTTTCCCTGGAAGAGCAGGTGCCGTCTCACGTACAGGAGAGCCCGGGGCTTAGAACCGCCAGGGCCGACTTTCCCCCACAGCAAAGACTAGGGACCTCACCTGATAGTCGTGCGGGATGATGGGTGTGATCTGCCTGCAGGTCAGCACCACTTCCTGCCCGGGCAGCTGGTAGACGGTCCAGGCGCGGGGGTAGAGCGCGTGGTAGAAAGCGTAGTGGCTGCAGAAGCCCCAGTTCCAGCCTTGCAGCCGGCTGGGTCGCCCGATGGAGAGCACCTGCTGGTAGACCGTCCGGCCCTTCCGGCGCAGGCAGACCGTGAACTGGGGCGGGAAGGCAGAGACCCCCGTGAGGAAGGCGCCGCGCCGGGGAAGCCCCAGGGCGCTCCTTTCCTGCACCCCACCCCCCCCTCCGCCCGACAAACCTGGTCCGCCACCACGGTCCGGTGCTGGTAGAAGCCCGGCAAGAGCTGCCACCTGCAGAAATCCCCGCGCCAGCCCCGCGTGACGGTGCCGCCGCCCAGGCCCCCCAGCGGGCAGCCTGCGGAGAAGAAGGAACAAGAAGGGGAGGAGAGGGAGGAAGGCGGTCAGCGCGCCCGCCCCCCGCGGTCTCGCTCCCCCCTCCCCTCCCCTCCCCCCACTCTCGCTCTCCCCCCCCTCCCGGGCGGGCCCTACCGTAGATGGGGCGCAGGGGCTGCGGGTGCAGCAGGTCGATGAAGGGCTGCCGCTTCTCCACGCGCGTCTTCCGGTACCACCAGCCGAGGTACCTAGGGGAGGGGGGGGAGGGGGCAGCGTCTCAAGCCTGGGGAGGGCCGCCGCCGCCGCCGCCGCCGCCCCGCTCGCTTCCCCCCCCTCCCGGGGGAAGGGGCGCCCCCTACCTGAAGGCCAGCCCCAGGTGCCGCAGGGCCTGCCCGGGGGAGACGTCGCCGGCCTGCAGGGGCTTCCTGCGCTCGGCGAAGCGGTGGGCTAGGCACAGCCGCCACCCGAACCGCGGCACGCCGCGCCCCGCCGCCCGGCCCTCGTAGCGGCTCATCAGCAGCTCCTCCGCAGCCGCCGCCGCCGCCGCCGTCCCCTCCCCGCGAGTGCCCCCCCGCCCGCAGCCCGCGCAGCCCCCCGTCGCCATGGCGGGATCGGCCGCCGCTGCACAGCCGACCCACCGGCGGTGCCAAGCCTGGAAGTGTAGGGGGCGGGGCCTAGTCGGCGGCTCCGCCCCGCCCCGCCCCGGAGAGAGAGGGGGGGAGCAAGCGGGAGAGAGAGAGAGAGAGAGCAAGTTGGTGCGCGTGCGCGTGCGCCCGTGTCCACGTGGCCCGGCCCGCCCCCCGCGGCCATGATCGAGGTTTTGGCGTCGCTGCAGCGGGGCGCCGCGTTCCTGGCGGGGGAGGCGCTGGAGTGCGTGGTGACGCTGCGCAACCCGCTCCCGCCCGACGCCACCTCCGCCTCCAGGTACCCGCCCCGGGGGGGGTCAGGGTGGGGGGGCTCCCTCCCCGACCCGCTGCAAGCCGGGCGATCCTTAGCCCAGGTTCTCGGGGCCTCCGCTGCTCTCTCGGGTGTCGCCCCCTCCCCAGCCCCACCGGGATCGCTTCCTCCCGGCCCGCAGTTCGTTAAAATCCCCCTTCATAACAGAATCGCAGAGCTGGAAGGGACCTCGAAGGTCATCTAGTCCAACCCCCTTGCCCGAGTAAGGAGTCCGGAGAAGTGGCTGCCTGTACGTGGCTGCCTGTATCTACACCAGGGGTAGGCAACCTCGGCTCTTTTATGACTCATGGACTTCAACTCCCAGAATTCCTGAGTCAGCTATGCTGACTCAGGAATTCTGGGAGTTGAAGTCCATGAGTCATAAAAGAGCCGAGGTTGCCTACCCCGATCTACACCATTGTTCTTTTTTCCAGCCTTATTTTGCTCTACCTTGAATTCCCCTTTGCCGGGCAGGGCTCTGGGTTCAAGTCTGCGGAGATCCTGCTCGGTGGACTCCCTATAGACCAGGGGTCTTCACACTTGGCCCTTTTATGACCCCCGCCCCCCAATACCTGAAGGGCTGCCACAGGGAAGAGGGCATTGATATATTCTCTAGGGCAGGGGTAGGCAACCTTGGCTCTTTTATGACTGGTGGACTTCAACTCCCAAAATTCCTCAGCCAGCGTGCCTGGCTGAGGAATTCTGGGAGTTGAAGTCCACCAGTCATATAAGGGCTAGGTTTGAAGACCCTTGCCCTATAGGGACCAGGGGTAGGCAACCTTGGCTCTTTTATGACTCGTGGACTTCAACTCCCAGAATTCCTGAGCCAGTATGGCTGGCTCAGGAATTCTGGGAGTTGAAGTCCACGAGTCATAAAAGAGCCAAGGTTGCCTACCCCTGCCCTAGACTCTGTGGCATGGGAGACCCCCCTTCCCCCAAAAGACACGCCCTTTGTTCTCGGGAGGCCGGTTGTAGCTGCTCCCCCCCGTCAGTTGGGAGGGGCCCCCGCATTCGAGGTAGTGATGGGGCAGCGGCGGCAGTGGTCTCTTCTGGGGGGCGGGGGTCCCTGGTGGGCCCGGCGCCCTTGGCTGCCCTCAGCTAAACAAGGATGGTGACGGGAACTGGGCCCCGACAGAATCTGGGGGTGGGGGGGGTCCCGTTTGCACATCTTACTTATTAGATTCCTATGCCCCCCACCTGCCCTGCAAGGTGACTCCAGGTGGCTTATAAATTATAGGAACAAGTGAAGAATAATTTTAAAAGGTTAAAAGGAACTGGCATTAAAATGTTCAAAACTGCGGTAAAAGCTCCCCTGCAAGAACCAAAAGAGATGGGTGGGAGGGGAATGGGGTCTTCTTGCACTCTCCCCTCAGAGGCCCCCACACAAGAAAGCCCATCCTAGCAGGCCTCTCCCGCTAGTGCGATTGGCATGGCTGGTCCCATCTCCAGATACCCTGGGCCTATGGGGCGCTTCAAAGGTAACTACCAACACCTTGGATCCGAAAGCAAACTGGCCACCAGTGCAGCTCACACACTGACTGTGTTAGATGTGCAACCCGAGGTGCTCCCAAGACTACGCGCGCCCACCTTGCACTCTGCACCAGTTGCACCAGCCGAATACTCTTCAAGGGCAGCCCCGGGTAGAGCGCATTGTTAAATTGCTATCTGATCAAAAATCACTAGACTGAGATGGGGAACCATATATATTGTTTAAGTAAATTATAAAGTATTGGAAGGGGTTATACTATCCCAAATAGACCCAATGTTCAGTTTGGGGGTCCTTCTGGACTCATGACTCCTGCTCAAGGAGCAGAAGGGCTGGAGGGCCTTAGCGCAACTTCCTGTGGGGCACCCATCTTCGGGCATGAGGCTCATCTCACAGCTCCTCCTGCTTTGGTCACCTCTGTGATCTGTATGGGGCTGCCCTGGAGGAGCATCCAGAACAGACATATCAAACTGCCGCGGGCCGGATGCATCACACCAAAACCGCACCCACCCCATTGCCAGCAATGGGGAAAAAGTTGCGATATGTCGTGTGACGTCGCGAGTTTGATATGCCTGGGTCCAGAGGCTTTGGCTGCTGCACAACGCATTGGCGCGGGAGTTATGGATGTTCCTAGGTGGGTATGTGCTGAACTTCTGTGCCGTGAGCTTCCTTGCTTGCCAGTTTGCCTCTATGTGCCTCTTTGATTGGATTTTATATTCGGTTTTAATGGTTGGTTTTATTGCACACTGTCCAAAGTCCCCTTGTATAAAATGGCAGCCCTATAAATTTGATAACTAAAAATAAATAAATAACCTAGACGAGGCAATAGAAGGAATGCTCTTCAAATTTGCAGATGACACAAGGCTGGAAATGGAGGAGCATTGTTGATAACTAAAAAGGCAGAATCAAACTCGACAGAAACCTGGGGGGGGGGGAATTGCTAAAACTTTAGAAGATAGACTCAAAATTATTCAGGAGGCTCCTGACAGACTTAAGCTTTGAGCCCTATTCAACAAGATGCAGTTCAGTGATGAGAAAAGGAATGTCCTGCAGTTAGGCAGGAAAAACCAGATACACAGGTAGGAGACAGGCAGTACCTGGCTTAACAATGGTGACAGGGATCTAGTAGGCAATCACTTAAGTATGAGTCAGCAATGTGCTGCAGCTACCAAAAACACCGATGCTGTTCTGCGATGCTGCATCAACAGAGGAGCAGTATCAAAATCACCCGAAGAGATAACACCATTTTATACTGTGCTAGCGAGGACACATTGGGAATACTGCATTCAGATCTGGTCACCGCAGTACAAAAATGGCGAGACCCTGAAAACATGCAGACAAGAGCGACAAAGATGATCCTGGGTCTTGTAGCCGTGGTTTTAGCACAGTTTTTAGTAATATTTTAACGTCGGTTTGTTTTAATCTTTCCATTATTTTTCACTTCCATGATTTATAAGAGGCTAAATTGTCAGAGGCTAAATTGTACAATGAGCTACTAAGGGAACTACAGGCAGGTGTGTTTAGCTTAATGAAGAGAAGGCTTAGGGGAGACCTGATACCGGTAGCTGCCCCCCAATACCTGAAAGGCTGTCACAGGGAAGAGGGCATTGATATATTCTCTAGGGCAGGGGTAGGCAACCTTGGCCCTTTTATGACTCGTGGACTTCAACTCCCAGAATTCCTGAGCCAGCCATGCTGGCTCAGGAATTCTGGGAGTTGAAGTCCTCGAGTCATAAAAGAGCCAAGATTGCCTACCTCTGCTCTAGGGCAAGAAGCAATGGGTGGAAGCTCCTCAGAGGGAAATGGAAATAAGAAGGAATTTCCTGACAGTGGGAATAATTAATCACTGGAACAGCTTGCCTCCTGGAATTATGGGTACTGGAGTTTTTTAAAGAAAAGATTGGACGACCATTTCTCCTGGATGTTATAAGGATTCCTGCCCCGGGCAGGGAGTTGGACTAGAAGACCTCCAAGGTCCCTTCCAGCCTTATGTTTTTTATGATTCTAAGTTCAGGAGTATATTGAAATACTTGAATATTGTGCCTCATCTAACAAAACGCTTTTATGTGCTGAGGAATGTAGAATGTTGCACTTAATAGGAAAAACCTGGTAGACAGGTACAGCGTAGGAGATACACAGTTTGTCAGCAGTGTGTGTGAGAAAGAACTGAGTGTCGCAGCAAATCAACATTGAGCATCAGCCAACAATGTGCTGTCGAAGGATGTGATGTTGGCTTCCAAGATAGTGTTGAAATCCCAGACAGTTCTGCTTCGTCTTTTCTGCCCTGCTCAGCCTATGCCTTGGACACTGGCTCCAGGTTCTGTTCATCACCCTAAAAAGAAGGGGGGAGAGCAGGTTATGGCACGACAGCTGGAGGGGGTCTTGGGGCCCAAACCCTACAGGGAGCAAAACCTGGGCGTGTTTAGCCTAAGAAAGAGGCGGGAGAGCAGCTTTCCCAGCCCCAGGGAACATGGGAGGAAGCGGCCTCAACAGGGAGAGATCCAGATTCAGAAATAAGGTGGAAAGTCCTGCATCGGAGAGCTCTGAAGCAGCTCCAAACCTCTTGGATTCAGGGAGGTTTCCAGATAGAGGCTGGATGGCCAGTTATTGGGGTGGGGTGGGGTCTGAGGCTTCGGGAGGGGGTCGGAGTCCCCGATTCTGTGATTCTGTAGCGATGCCTGTGTGGAGTGCAACAGTCCCGTTGTGCGCCACTGACCAGCGTTTCATAGCCAGTACAACTCGCTTTTTTTTCGATGTAGAAACATTTCCAAAATGCTCATTTAGTACTTGAAAGAGAAGATTTTGTGAGGTTTCGTGCTCGTATTCTTTCCATACTCTGCCCCAAAATGGGTTAACAGGAAGTGATGAGGCTTTTGGGTTCGCAGTTCTGCCCCATTCTTGCCCTTTGCTGCTGAACCATCGTGAACCGACAAATGCAACGCGGGCAGATGTGCTTCCTGCTAGCAGTGATGCATCAGCAGCTGCCAAGCCCGCCTGCCTGGAGAAGCTTGGCGGTTCCCCTCCTGGCCTTGGGGAATCTCTGTTCTCCTGTATCACACCCTCCACTCTCCAGAAAGGGGGCGAGGTGTCTGCAAAGGCCCCAAAACGCTTGACCATTGGAGATGCCAGGTACCCTCTTTGGCTCAAGCTTCAAGTAGCCACTTTTTTTCAAGGAGGGGGGGCTTCTGCTGGAGGTGTCTGTCTTGGGGGGCAGGAGGTCTGTGATGTCTGTCCTTGTGCAAGCGTATGCCAGGGGTTCTCCTGCAGGAAGACAGGAAAGGATTGTGTAGTTTTCCAGATGCGCTTGTCTTACTGGTTGCCAGGAGCCCCTGTGATCTTAGCTTCCTCAAAAGGAAAAAGCACCACCCAGATGTGGCTCTTTGGTTCTTCTGTCATGCTCTGCAGCCTCTTCTCAGGCCCTTTTGAGGCCTGCAGCCAGCAAGGAAATTCCTCAGCACAAAATGTGCAACAAAGTGTGGGTGTGGGTGTGTTTCAGCTCTTCCTCCTGAAGGGCACTTCCTCTGGGCAGGCTTCCCTCAGAGCCCTTCTAAGGCCATAGCTTGCTACCCTGAGCTGTAGCTCCAGGCCCAGATCCTTCCTGGATCCTGAGCGGGAGAACCAGCCTCTGCAGCCTGCAGGCTTGACGGTCTAGTTTGAAGACAAGACCGGCTGGCCACTCTTCCTAATCAGGTTCCTGGGCTGTTCTGCAGGTTGTTTGCAAGGATTAAGGATGGCGCCGTTCCATGGGCAGAGCAGCCCTTCCCATGCCAGCCAGACAGGCAGCAAAGAGGAGGGCTGCGGCAATGGGGGCCTTGGCTGGAGAGTATGCAAAGAGCAGGCTTGTTCTTCAGTGTGGTGTTTCAGGATGAAGCTGTCAGCTACTTGTGAAAACACATAACACTTCGCTGGGTTCACACATTGACTGGATCAGTTGTGGGCTTCCACTGTTTTTCAGGCCCTCCCCCCGAGGCCAAGTAGTACCGTCTTTTGCTGTCCAAGTGCTGAGATGTGCAATCCACCCTAGCTAAGTTCACACAGCTGTCCAATCCAAAACCCCAAACCTACATATTTCCACCTTCCGTTCCCGTCTCCAGGCCTTTGGGGTGTGAAGCATCCTCGCCTGCTCCTGGCAGATCCCTGGACTCTTGCCTTGATGCAGTTGCAACTCTGGCCTCCTCAGAGCCGGGAGCTGCAGTGATGATAATGATGGAACTGGGACCTTTTGTAGAACGGAGGTCAGGACAGGCCGAAAGCAAGAAGGAAGAGAGATGCTGGTCAAAAGGCAGGATGTGGACCAGAGCCCATTGGAAAAGGGAGCTTCTCCATTGACCAGGTGCTGGGTGACTGGCCTTGAGCTGATCCAATCAGATAACAGGTTAATGAATGGACGGTCAAGAGGCCACTCCCAGCGCAAAGCAAAGAGGGTGGACAGCCTGGGAAAGAGGAACGCAAGGGCAGCTGGAGCGGCCTCTTTTGCCAGTCAATCCCATTTGGTGGCTTTTTGTGTTCCGCAAGAGAGTTCCAGAGGCCAGGATTAACTGGTTGGGCTGATCGTGGCTTGTATTCTAAACTCTGTCACAAGGTGATCACGCATCACCCGAGCAGAGTCCTGGCAAGCTGAAGCTGGGGCTCTGGAGAAGGCAGCGGGCTTTGGGTCACTTAGGTTCTCCACCAAAGACTGTGGCCGTCCCAGGTGGGGCAGAGTGCGACAACCCCATATCGTGCGCAGTGACGCAGCGGCCCCTGAAGCTGCCCAGGAGCCCCATCCGCCCCCCCAGGGACATCAGGAAGGGCGACATAAACGCGTAGAGCAGCCAGGAGGATCAGCTGGGACTAGCTCCAGGTGAAAATGATGGACTGCAGGCAGGAACTCGGTATGAACAGTCCTCGGCTGATTGGACAAGAAATACGAATGAAAATCAGCTGCAGAACGCTTTCAACAGAACCCTGTTGAACTCATGCAGAGTGTCAGAAATATTACGCAGTTACACGTGTTATAGTCATTACAAGTCAACCGCGTTTCTCCAGATTCCTGTGTGATACAGTCACTCTGATATTGCATTTGCATTCAATCTGAAGGGTCTGCCATAACCACCAAACGTTTTTCAGGAAGCAAAACCTTTGAAAAAAGGTGTGGACTGGTGATGAAGCGAGCCATAGCCGGGCCGAAAGCCGTCCCCCACCCCTTCCAAGGGGGTCGTCTCCTTTCCTGAGCAGCTTGGCTGACAGTCTGATCTCGGAAGATAGCTGGAGCTTCAGCGGTCCAGACTAACCAGGATTCAAGCAGCAGGGAAGGCAGGTTCCCGAGGGGTCCTGAGAGGAGCCAGAGCCCCAGACCCTCCATTAGATGGGGCCAAACAGAGGCCGGCATCAAGGTTGTAGGAGGGAACAATTTCACAAGAAACGGGTTCTTGGGCATAGCGCAAAAGGTACCTGCTGATTAGAGGGCTTTGTGGGCTGAATGGCCCAGCGCCCCTCCCCATGCCCAGTTCTCTCCTGGCATCCTGGGAGCAGCCAAGGCTGCCTCAGAAATTCCAAAGGTGGCTTGCTGAAAGGGTAGAGCAGAGTATGGGCGCTGTAGTCCTAGAGGAGGAGGAGAAGGCAACCAAGTGTTGGGGCCGGCACGAACCTCATGTAGAAAATGGCACTTGCTGTGAGAAGGTCCACCTGGCCCTCTGAAGGTTTTTTTTTTTCCATCGGACTCTAGCGGTGTCTTGCCATGTGGCCTGGCCCTGGCCTTCGCTTGCCTTCCTCTTCCTGACAATCCTGTCCTCTTTCTTTCTTCCAGTGAGATTCTGGCCTGGGCCAGTGCTCAGATCCACTGCCAGTTGCACACCAGCGAGAGCCGGGTTGCTCTGCCACCTTCACAAGATACCAGCTATGATGCTCAGGCGGAAAATGAGACTGTCTTTGTGCCCAATAGAGGTAAGTTGCATCTCAAGGAGGGAGCCTCAGGGGGGGGGGGCTGGTGTCCATTGCCTGACCCCAGAGGGTCAAAGAGGGAGCCCCTCGGACTTGGAAAGGGAGGCCATTGCCGATCTTCCAAGCGAGGTACGACAGACTGAAGAATGCCCTGAAAGTGGAGCCAACAGTCGTGGCAAAGACCACAGAAGCAGTGAGTGGACTGTTTTCTTGGAGCCTCTCTGGATAAGGAGAGGACGGGAGATCGCCTGCATAGGCTTTGGATACCTACTTCTCACGAGTGTAGGCTGCAGGATGGTGCTTTTCTGTGGTTTTGAGTGCCAGGAGACAGGGATCTCTTGGTCACAACTGCTGCAGAGACTTTGAAAGGACACTGTCATGGTTCTGATACCAATTAAATCAGAACTCCGAGGCTAGAGGTTTCCTCAAAGAACATGTTTATTGCTTACACAATATCTGCACGGGCAAAAGTGAAACCAAGTCTGAAATTCCCTCCAAAGAGACTATTACAAAGTCAAGCTTCCCACCCTAGTGCTATGCAGTCGTCTATGTAATAGAATAATTTGGCGGGCTTTTTAACAAAACGCCCAACCCTCTAAGCCAGTGGTGGCGAACCTATGCCACGTGTGCCAGAGGCGGCACTCAGAATCCTCTCTGTGGGCACGTGTGCCATTGCCCCAGCCCCACCTCCTCCCCTGGCCCCTTCCTCACCAGCAGCCCCCAGGAGAATCGCCCCCAGCATGGCCTGTAAGGAGCAGCACAGCCAAGGACATGGCAATTGGGCAGTGGGGACAAGACTCCACCCTTGCGCCCCGGCATGTGCAGTTGATGCTATGGGGCGCAGGCAGAGGGTGTGGCTACCATGGTGCTGCTGGGCCACCTGGGCGATCTGCAGTGGGCCGTGGAACCTGTGGGTGGTCAGGATGGGGGTGGGGCAGGAGCGGGGTGGGGCTGGAGTGTGCGGGGCAGGGCAAGAGCGGTTTTGGGGCACTCGGTCTCTAAAAGGTTCGCCATCACTGCTCTAAGCTAACCGATAGAATGACCTTGGTTCCCATGGACACAGAATTGTTTAGACTAGCAAAAATACTCCATACCCCCTCCCTTTCAGGTGGCAACCTAGAACAAGCATGATGGCTGCAGCCAGGTTCCTCGTAGAGTTGACAGACACGAAATTTGCAAACCTCACTTGCTAATTACTTTTGGAAATTGCCCATTAACTCCTCATAAGCTATTAAAGGCTTTTGGACCATAAATCTTCCTTCAATCCTGAAGGGCAGCCCAAAAGGGCAGAGGTTGTGGGGAGAATAGGCGGGGGGGGGGGCAGTTGCAGGGCCCCTGTGGTCATATGTGCTACTAGGTGGGGGGTTGAGTCTTCCAGGGGCAGCTGTGGCTTTGCAATGCAGACCCCTCCTCCCCCCTTTGCGCACACAGCCTGTGATGTGCCTCCCCCACCCCTTGAGCCACCCCCACAATCCTTATCTGGGGTTCCGCCCTCTTAATGGACCACAATTTTTGCAGTAACCACAACTGGAAGAGCCCAGATTGCAGTTGTGAAGCGAAGCGGTCACCTGGCATCTCGCTTAATGACTGCTTTGTTCAGCGACAGAGATTTCGGTCCGATTCGTGCTTGTACGTCAAGGTTACTTGTACGTTGTTACTTCTGATAATCCTTAGCAGCTGGTTGCTGGCACCGGGACTGACCGAGAAGGAGGATCATATAGATTACAAGAGAAGGGATCTGGGATGAGGAGATCAACATTTGTGGCCTTCAGGGGGACGAGGGAGTGGTTAAATTTCTTTATGCTTGAGATGATGGTTGGAAGTCACTTCATATTTTTTTTTCTGTTTATTGCGTTCTTGTTTTTCTTTTTTTGTATTTTTTTTCTCCTTTAAGTCTAGTTTGTATTAGGTTTCACTATTATAACCAATAAAAGTTACATTTAAAAAAAAACAGAACAGGAAGGGGAAGGCCTTGCTGTGGGCTAGTGACATGCGTTGCCTTGCAGGGGAGCGGGGTCAGTGCATCCTGTCGACACCCCCAAAGATCCTCTTCTGTGACTTGAGGCTGGATCCCGGCGAGTCCAAAAGCTGTGAGCGCTGCCTTCTCTCCCCCCCGGGTTGCACAGAGGGGGGATGTGGGTGGGTGGTCACCCGAGAGCCGCAGGTGGGCAGCAGGAGGGGCTGAGAGCAGAACCCGCCTGGCGAGGTTCAGTTTCACTGTCTGCCCCAGAGCCTCCCTGCCCCTGTCTCAGCTGGCCTGTCTCAGCGTCCCCCTCCCTCTGCCCCCAGACTCCTACTGCGAGACGCTGCCGGTGGACGGGCCGCCCTCCTTCCGTGGCCAGGCGGTGAAGTACGTCTATAAGCTGACCATCGGCTGCCAGCGGGTGAACTCGGCCATCAAGCTGCTCCGGGTCCCCTTCCGAGTGATGGTGCTGCAGGGTAAGCTCCCCCCCCCCACCTTGTCCTCCGCCTGGAACTCCAGCCCACCAGACCTCTGACTTCGTGCCTCCGTCTCCCCAGGGCTCAGAGACTACCCCTTCCCCCAGGATGAGGCCGTGGCCCCCTCCAACCCGTTCTTGGAGGAGGAAGAGTGCGGCGTGAAGAAGACATCCCGCCTGGCGGACCTGGCCACAGAGCTCCTGACGGTCGCGACTTCGCGGCGGAGTTTGCGTGAGTCCCCTCTCCCGCCGGACGATCGTCCCTTGCGGCCCCCGCCAAAACCCACCAGGGCCCTCTGTGGCTGTGGGCCCCATCCTTGGTCTCCAGTCCTCCGTACGAGGCTCCACCTGTGCCCCCCTTCCATCGTGCCCAGTGGTTCCTTTGGAAGAAGGTGTCCAAGAGTCCCACAGCCCCTTCCTGACCCCAGCAGCCGATGCGAGGCTCTCCTTGTGAGGCTGAGCACAGCAGGCCTCGACCCCTGACTTTCCATCCTGGGCACCTCTGTCGACCTCAGGAGGCAGCTCCCCATGGGGCCCTGCAGCCCAGGCGACTCCTTCCCCTATATAAGCAGTGCTGGTTCACTTGGGGCCTGTGCTGGGCCACAGAGCCGCTCCATCCACCCCCAGCCTTAGGGCAGCGCTCTCCGTCCCCAGACTTGTTCAACATCAGCAGTGCCCGGGGCCGAGTGGCCACCTTCTGCATCTTCAAGACCATCTACAAGATTGGGGAGGACGTGGTGGGGACCTTCAGCTTCTCCGAGGGGGACACGCCGTGCCTGCAGGTGAGGGGGGGGCGGGGGCTACCCAGGGTCTGTGCAGACGGAGGAGCGGGGGGCCCACCTTTGCTGACAGTCTCTGTCCCCGCCAGTACCTGGTGAGCCTGCAGACGGAGGAGCGGGTGCAGGAAGCCTTCCAGCGCCGCAGGGGGCAGGCTGCGTCCTATAGCACCCACGCACGGCACCAGGAGTCCTGCCTGCACACGGCCCGGACTAGTTTCAGCCTGCCCATCCCCCTCAGCTCAGCCCCGGGATTCAGCACCAACGTTGGTGAGCCTGCTGAGTCGGAGCTCCTGAAGCAGCCCTGGTCTTCTGGGGGAGCCCTCCCAGAAGGGAGCTGGGGCAATGGGGGGGGTTGCTCTCACAGCCTCGTGTGGCGGGGTGGTGGTGAGCAGACCAGCCTGGTTCCCCTTGCCCTGAGTGCCCACCTGCCTGCCTTCCACAGTGTCCCTCCAGTGGAGGCTCCACTTCGAGTTTGTCACTCTGCGGGACGTGGCCGAGGCACCTGTGACGCCCAAGGACCCGTCGGAAGCCGCCAGCTGGACAGGAGTGGAGCAGATGGACGTGGACACTTTCAGCTGGGACTTGCCCATCAAGGTGCTGCCCACCAGTCCCCTGCTGGCCACCTCTGTCTCGCAGTTGCCCAGCTGCAGCGCTCTCACCATCTGATCGGGCTGGCAGGAGAGGGAGCTGGGTGGCCCTGGAAGGCTCCTTCTGACACTGCCTGAAGCCTGGGGACTCTTCCTCCTCCGTTGGCAGGCCGTGGCCGGCAAGACCTGGCCCCTGTTCTGGCTGGGGCGTTTTCCCTCCCCATGGAGACCCAGTGAAGCCCCCGCCCTGCCCTGTACCTTAGGAAACAGCTACAAGTTGAAAGGGGGAGGGGGCTCTTTTCTGCTCTTCCGCCCCACCTAAAAGTCCGTTTTGTGTCTGTCAATAAATGGTTCTCCTGCCCCCCCATGTGCCCATGGCAGCTTCCCCACCCCAGGATGCAGGGGAGCAGGCCGGGGGCCCACCCGCCTGGCTGGAGGATGAGCCCTGCCCTTTGACCCAGGAGCCCCACTTCTGCAGCAGGAGGAAGGAGCAGGAGCCCAGGACAGTCCTTGGCTGCCTTTTCCTGCCATCCACCTGGCAACTGGGACTGTTGCCAGGTGGAGCAGTGTCGGAGGACACCCTCCGTGTGCCCAGGAGTGGGGGAGAAGGGTGCGGGCTGGGTGGGGCTTAGGGAGAGAACAGAGCAGGGGGGGTAGGGGATGGAAAGTGGCCATTCTCCGTATTTATTGTGGCTGCCAGGAGGGAGCTGGTTGAGGAAGGAGGCGGTATTCATGCTGGTCCCCTTGAAAGCACCCTGGGACCACCAGCGAGCGGGCCGGGCAAAGTCTGCTCTAGCTGAGCCAAGCCAGATCCTGGCGTGGAGGCAGCAGAGCCCCTCGGCCGGTGCCTCTGCTGTGGACACAGCTGCTCCGGGAGGGGGAGGCCTTGAGGAAGCCCTGTGTGGGCAGGGCCAGATGGGGCCACGTGGCCGACAGATGGCTCCTCTTGCAAGGCCAGCACAGCCGAGGGCAGTGGCCGGTTCTTCGGTCTCACGCAAGTACGCAGAACGCTGAACCTGCAGTTCCTGTGGGGCCTCCGTGCCTCAGCCTCTCCTTTGGCTCCAGGTTGTTGCCCCTGGGAAAAAGCTTCTTCCCTTGTGGAAGTCCAGGTAAAATGTCCCTCCCCCCTCCTCCCCCCTCACACCTGAGCTATTCTCTCTGGTGCCCGAGGGTGCGGTGCAAACATCTCCGTCTTATTTGCGCAGCTCGCAAAAGAGGCTCCCTGGCTGCCTTTGCCGTGCACAGAGCTAGGCGACCTTTCGCCTTGGTTGGCTTTGTTCACGTCTCTCGCACGCAAACCATCGGCCTCCCCCAGACTCCACCTGGGCTTCCGCCCTGGAGAGGAGCCGCTGAGGGGGCGGTGTCCCAGGTGGGGGGGCCTTGGCAGGAACTGGATCCCTGCTCAGGGGATTAATGGAATTAATGGGTTCCATTTCATTCCTGATAACCTGGGAAGAGGTTTCTCCAGTCGGGCCCTTCTCCCACCTAGCACTGGTTGGCCGAGACCGGAGGGGCAAAGGCCCACGCCCTGATCCCCAGCAGCCCCTCCTGCTGGAGGGAGCACTAGGGCAGGCCCCGGAGCCCCTGTTGTTCTGGTGGGCAGGACTCGGGTGGCGCAGTGGTGGGCTCCATTCCGAAGCATCGGGCTCCTTGAGGGGCTTTGGCTGGTAGACAATCCCCACCTGCCCTAAAATGCAATCCGGGTCTTTGTGGGTTTCAGTTCCTGCTAACCTGGATACTTCTTTGGCATTTGGAGGGAGGGGTCTGCTTGGTTCACGGTGGGGTCTCGAGGGGAAACAGTTCAGTCTGGCCACTGCCCTTCCCGGACCCTTCCCTGCTTGGCTCCTTTCTAGGGCCCTGCAACAACTCTGGTTTCAGAGATTATGAAAAGAAATGGCTGCTGGGGTGGGGCATGAGGCACAAGGTCCCTCTCCCCACTGGAGGTTCCCGACAACCCAGCTCTGACCAGGATTGCAGAGTGGGCTGTGCTCCATTTAATAGCGGGGGGGGGGGGGCATTTTCCTGGGTTTAATGATTGAACCCAAGCCTGCTTTGTATTGCGTCTTGTGTGATTCTGCAAGAACGTAGCCGAGCCCTTCAGATCTTGTAATCCAATCTGGTCAGTGAAGAGTTTGGCTTTTCTTACAGCCCTTAAATTACTCCGTAACTCAGTTACTTCTTTTTACCTTTTTAGGAAAGAAATTTTAGTATACTAAGTGTGTCTTTCCCTGTGTATTTAATTGAACGATCGCTAAATAAATGGAAGTAACACTAGGGAGTTGTGCCTTGGCTGGTCTTTTGCCATCAGGCTCCGTGGAGGCAGAACGTCGTCAGTGCCTGTTTCGAATGATAATTATCAAATGTATTGACTTGGTTTGATTTCCACAGATGGACACAAAATCTAACTTCTCCGCTTGCTTTTGGGATGGAGGGAACCGATGCTTTCCACTCACTAAGAGCAGTGTTTCTCAACCTTGACAATTTTAAGGCATGTGGACTTCAACTCCCAGAATTCCACAGCCAGCAATGCTGGCTGTGGAATTCTGGGAGTTGAAGTCCACATGCCTTAAAATTGTCAAGATTGAGAAACACTGCACTAAGAGGCTCCATGACTGCTAGGTTAACCCTTGTCTGCCCCTCTTTCCTTATTGTATCTCTTAACCTCTCTAAGGTCCCTTCCAACTTTATTATTATTGTTGTTATTGTTATTAAGGGGTAAAAGCAGCCAGGAAGGGAGGGAGTCCGGGAACCCTGAGGGAAGGAGGCAGGAGTCCTCACTGGACCAGGGAATAAATACTTCCTGGCTCACTGCCCTGGCCTCCTTCCTGGTTGAGATGCCCTCTGGCTGGATTGGAGCAAGGAAGCAGAAGAACTTCCGTTCCTTTGGCTCCCTCTGCTGGTGGTGATTGGAGGTGGGTAGTCTGGACTTAGTGAGATTGGGCGAAGGAAAAAAGGGGGGCATGGAAGCCAATAGAGGGGGTGCAGTTTCCTTGAATCTACTACGGAACTGGTCCAGAGTGATGCTGTAGAGAGTAAAGACAAAGGCCTGGGTAAAGGGGAGATTGTTACCAAAGCAATAGGGAGGGAAACCTAAGAGGGCATGAGCAAACATCAGAAGGAAACTCCCCTGCTCCACAGGAGAATAAGAAACTGAGGAGGGGAAGTATAATCAAACTTTCAAGGTTCTAGTCCTGTAGATACTGCCAATCTTTTAATATGGGGCCTAGTCTAAGTAAAGCCACTGAGAGATCCAAGAGGGACAGGATGGTTGCATCCAGTGGTGGGATTCAGCCGGTTTGCACCACTTCGGCAGAACCGGTAGCTAATTTTTTGTTGCCCAAGCCCAGAATGGACTTCTGGAAGTGGCATCCACACAGAACCGGTTGTTCACATATTTGAATCCAACCACTGGTTGCATCCCCTCCATCTGCTTCAGACAGGAAGGCGGTGCAGAGAGTGGTGAGAATGGCCGAAAAGATCATTGGCAGTTCCCTCCCTCCCATCCAGGACATAACACAGAAGCGTTGCTTGAGCAGGGTCCGTAAGATTATCTGGGACACTACGCATCCTCGCCATGAACTGTTTTCCTTGTTACCTTCTGGGAGGAGGGGGCTTCGTGGTATCTGTAGCAGAACATCCAGATTCAGCCATAGTTTCATTCCATACAGCATTAACCTTGTGAACTCTCAAGCTTCCTCCTTCCGTTATATATTCAAGATGGACAGTATTTAATATTTATTTGTTACGTATTTGAAGGGGTGTGGGTCTATACATATGTAGCGTATAGTATGTTTTAGGTGTGTGTCATGTATGTGTTTCACTTTGAGAGCGGGCAACTAAATTTCATTTTTTGATGTGTGCCATTGTGACCAGTAAAAGAAAATGACAATAAAGGTTATCTTATCTATCTTATCGTGGGACCTCCAGAGATCATCCACAAGGGCAGCCAAGGCTTCCTCCAGATCCAGGACTGAACCCGAACCAAAAAGGAGTCCGAATAACCCGCTGCATCTGAGGCTTCTGCACTTGAGCACCACCCACCCTCTCAACAGCCCCCCTCCCCCTCCCAATCTCTTTCTGCTCAGTTATCTCCTGTTGCAGTGTCTTTGTTTAAGTAGGTCTGTTCTCTCAGCATCTGCACATGATGCCATTTACATGTTGACTTTTTCAGGGCAGCTGGGGACCCTTCCAAAGTAGCCCTTTCCTCTCTTTGCTGTGGCAGCTGTGCCCAGGGGTCTTCTCCCACTGCAGGCCAGGGCCAAGAAAGGTCAACGCTGAAGACTCTCGATCCCTTCCTGCAATGGCCTTTTACAGCTGAGGTGGCCCTTCCTTCTCTGCGAGGCTTGTGGCGGAGGGAAGGTCAGAGGGCTGCATGGAAAAGCCGCCCTCTTCCTCTCAGCAACCCCCTCGGGTCAGCCTTAATTTATTTCCTCCCTCCGGAGTTTTTTGGTGCTCATTATCACACACACACACACACACACACACCCTGAATCCCACAGTCCTTCACTGACAATTCCTTGCAAGCAAAACCCCAGTCTGACAAAGAATGACAAAATGAGTTTAGGGAACAAGAGGGAGGAGGTTCGTTCTCCGAGCTTATGGGTTGGTTTTTGAAAGTTTCATTACCAAGCTAGGTAACATATTCAGCGGAGTTTAGGGAACAAGCCCCAGTACCTACAGCATCTATACATTGTTTGACCCCCTGCTGATTTTGTACATTTGCCCACTGACAAAAAGATGATCAGTCTATAATTGTAATGATAGGTTTATTTTAACAGTGAGAGACAGAATAACAACAAATCCAGATAAACGCATTTCAAAAAAAGTTATAAATTGATTTGCATTTTAATGAGTGAAATAAGTATTTGATCCCCTATCAGCAAGATTTCTGGCTCCCAGGTGTCTTTTGTACAGGTAATGAGCTGAGAGCCGAAGCACTCTCTGAAAGGGAGTGTTCCTAATCTCAGCTTGTTACGTGTATACAAGACACCTGTCCACAGAAGCAATCAGATTCCAAACTTTTCACCATGGCCAAGACCAAGGATGTCAGGGATAAGATCGTAGACCTACACAAGGCTG